AAGGGAAAACGGCTGAAGCAGATAAACCTAAGACTGCATTTAGTTATGGCCAAGGTCTCTGGCAATACTGTGTGATGCCATATGAGCTTAGCAATGCTCCAGCAAAACTTGAGAGGCAGATGAAAAGAGTACTGGAAGGCCAAAAATGGAGGATAGACCTAGTGTAGGGATGATGTCATTGTGTTTGCAACAACATTTGATGAGGAAATGTCCTGGCTAGAGGAAGTATTCAAGCGTTTGAAAGCAGCAAACCTCAAACTCCATCCCAAGAAATGCCACTTGTTCCAGAAAGAGGTGCTTTACTTGAGTCACATTGCAAGTGAGCATAGTGTGATCCTGACAAGGTGAAAGCAGTATGTGATTGGTCAACACCAGACAATGTGGGAGAGTTAAGAAGTTTCTTGGTACTCTGTACCTATTACCAGAAGTTTGTGAAGGACTTTGCAACTATAGGTGCTCCACTACATGATTTGACTAAAAAAAAGGCCAGAAGTTCTAATGGACAATTTCTTGCCAGCATGTTTTCAGAACATTGAAAGAAAAATTGGCCTAGCTCCACTTTTAAAGCTTCCAAATCCCTCACTGCCGTACATACTGGATTGTGATGCTAGTAATGTCGGAATTGGAGGAGTTTTGTCTCAGAAAGTGGGCGAAAACGGACATGCGGAGGCCTACATCAGTAGGGTCCTGAGTACACCATAAAGGAACTACTGTGTAACACGGAGGAACTCCTTGCTATAGCAAAGAGTCTATCTTTATCTCTATGGTGCCTGGTTTACCATCAGGACAGACCATGCTGTATTACACTGGTTACAATCATTAAAAAACCCAGAGGGACAACTGGCACATTGGATCAAAAAGATAGACTAGTATAATTATGATATTGAATACAGAGAAGGAAAATCTCATGGAAATGCTGACGGACTGAGCCGAAGACCCTGTAAAAATGACTGCAGACATTGCTGCAAAAGAGAAATTGAACTAACCAGGTGTCATCAAGCTGAAGTCAAAGTGAATGTAGGAATTGGTGATGTTGAAGAGGAACCAAGTATAGATATTAAAGCAGAACAGGAGAAAGACCAAGATTTGAAGTCAAAAATTGATTTCCTATAAGTAAGTGTTTTGTGCCCTGCTTGGGAGAAGGTGTCTAGTCTAAGCCCTGTGACAAAGAACTATTGGGCACAATGGGACCAGTTGAAGCTTGAAGATGGTATTCTTCTCCAGAGATGGTAACTGCAGATGGGAAAGTGACAATGTGGCAAACAGTTATACCGAGAAAGTTACGG